ACTTATCATCACGTGAACTTGTGCTCGTTTGCCACCCTTATACTATAAAAAACAATGTTTTGTAACGGTTGGAACGTAATGAAAATTCAACTACTCAAAAAAGAACTAAATGAAAGTTATGCAAATACAGCAAAATTTACATAACAAAGTGTTATTTGTATTCAGTAATTCAAACCGTCGAGTCTACAGTACAGCACAGTCAATGTTACACAACACATCTGTAAACGTAGATGTGTTTTCGGGCCCCAGCATCCAATTACCATCAGGTGGACTGTGTGCTCTTATGTTAAACTTATTCTTAAAAATATAGTATCAATCCCATAATTACTAGGCGTCTACTACTACTTTTAAAAATAACCCACGGGTGGGTGCTCTTCCATTTTTCTGTTGTGTGGTTGATCTTGTCTACTCACAGCTAAACCTACATATCTGTCAATTTGTAGTAGTTATAAATATAAAACCACTGTTCTTATTTGCACAAAAACACTATTTCATTTATGTATTAGTCAAAAAAAAAGTAAAGCAATGTTATAGCCTAATACTTACGTCCCAAATTTGTGCTGAGGCCTCCCCTCAGTCCGGATAGAGCTTGTTAACGAAAACGATTGATGTTACAAAGCCGAGGCCCCCCACGAGCCCACCCTGTCCTGTGGGTGCCCGATACAATTAATATTTTCGTACCACATTATTTGCTCGATCGTTGTCATCAATGTACTGTTTAACTAATCCATTGCGACGTAACTCAGTCAATTTGTACATCTAGAATCGTTCAATGTCTGTTACTGATTGTGTATTTTCTGAACGATTTGACTCATTTTGGTCGTATTCACGCAATAAATTGGTTTTATCGAGACGATGGTTCATAGCTGAGTTCGGATGAGATCACTCAAGTTATTAACAAATTCTATATTTATGGACCAAAATAGTCATATTTACAACATGTGTAGGCTTAATGCTAAAAAGAAAATCCCAAAACATGGACCCGATAGGTGGCGCTATGGTTTAGTTGTTAATAAATGTTATATTTACACTATAACGTCCGAAGTAACTTCGAAGTGAAACTCATGTACCCATATACCGATAAGGACTACAAAATCGGCGGGCATTTCGAATGATGTTATATACAGGTTGATTTTTTTGCCACCTGGAAAAAATAGGGTGTAACAGGCGAACGGAATAGAAGCCTATGGCACTGATATTTTACATTTTATTTAATTTTACATTAACATTTTATGAAATTGATCTACCAATAAATACTACTAATTTTAAATACACTTTCGGTACTAAAAAATAACAACAAAATTTTTGAACTAAATAAATAAATCAATTAAAAACTATGGAAATTAAAAAACAAATTGTACCCAATTAGTAGTATTTATTGATAAACCAATTTCATAATATGTTAACGTAAAATTAAAATAATTTAAAATATCAGTGTCATTATACCCTATTTTTTTCCAGACGGCAAAAAAATTGATTTAACATTTATACATTTTAAATATTCTTGAATAATATAAAATATATATCCAAAAATGAAAAAATTATAATATAGGGTTATTTTTCAAAGAGTATCCAAATTTTATATATAAATTCAAATACATAATCAGAGAAACGAGTCTCTGGACCACTCTATACAAAATAACCTTCATTTGTTTATAAATAGTCCATTGCTAGGAAATTTTGTCATAATAATCACAGTTAGCAGGTGAGTTAGCAGCCTCAGTATAGCATACTGCCTCGTTAGTCCAGTTGTTGTAGTAGTGCGATTGTTGACCACGAGGTTCTGGGTTCAAATCACGGGCCGGGCCAAAAAATCTATTATTGTGTTTTTCCGTCAATAAATTCTCAGTAACTGCCCGGCGTCAGAAAGTTAGTGGTTTCTCACCCCCGTGCTTTGGAAAGCAAGTAAAACCGTTGGTCCTGCGCCTGATCTCTCTCCGGTCGAGTCGGATTGCCATGCCATCGTTCTATAATAGTGCGGGAAAAGAGAGTGTATGTGTGCGTGCTCACCACAGAAATCTAAATAGTGCCTTATTATTTAGATTTCGGTGATGCTCACATACTCGTGTACTATAACTTTCCCGTGCAGATGGCGAATATCCATTGAGGCTGGCCGCCGTGACCGAAATTCGGTCTGGAGGACATTATTATTATTGCACAAATGCTCTATAGAAATTTTAAAAGATGTATCGCATATACGAACATGACTACTTAGCTAAATACGAAGTTCTATTAATTACTTACCACGAGTCCCGCTCCCGGTGCTATCACGGTCGCAGAGCCGGGTGCAATGGAATTTAATTAAAAGCAAACATTGCCCGACAGAGGCATTCATGTTAGATACAACTCTGTGCCGATTAAAATTTTAAATTTCTCTATGAAACCACTGCATCATTATTTATTCCCGTATGCTGTATTAACATAGCATAAGCTGCATCAAATAATGAGTACACCTTTGAGTTTAAATAGTAAAATCATATTCAAGACTAAATAACGAATACATTCATATGTTAGTGGTATATATACTTATACGCTTTTACGATTTATCAAGAGTTTTCTTGATTTCTATTAGAAGTCTTTTGCTTCTATGCTACCCCCAGCGATTTTCAAGATCGATTTTACTTAAGGACCTTCAAGAAAATTGTCTAATCCTTTTTAAAAGGCACCTTCAACTCCCCAAGCGCTGAAGTTGTTCACTGGTGGTGACAGTTACTTAATATCAGGTGAGTTGCATGCACGTTTGCCCTTCTATAAAAGCATATGACAATATACATCTTTCACTGATCGTCTTATAACCGTATACTATGCTTATTCTTTGTCTGAACTAACTTATTAGTTAAAACAATGAAGCTAATAACCAATAAATAAAGTTGTATTGCTAGTGGTTAAAGTAGACTATATTCGCCTAAAATTTTAATTCGAATGCAATCAATACGAATTTATAATAATTTTTACTCTTTCAGGATCACTTCGTAATATTTTTCTTTACCTATTTACGCAGGAGTTTGTACAGTATTGTGGAGTTGTTTTATAAACATATACATAAACATAACCATGGAGAAATTTCCAAACCCGAATAAAAACACGCGGCCTGGATATCCATAGTCAAACAACTCCGTTCCTACCTAAATGTGTAATCGTTAATCGCCGCATAATTCTATTAACTACTTATTATTTCCATATTGTTGCGCACCACAATTAATGTCACTAGCGTCATCTTGTATCGAGTTGCAGAACTAGGAGAGCTTTCTAGAAAATTTCATACTAGAACTTTCTACACCTAGTCGGTCGGGACCGGTGTGTGCTCGAACATTCTAGGTTTTATAGTGGAAAGGGCCGTATATAAGGATAGTAAAGGACGCGACTGAGGCAGTATTGAATTGGCAATACAAGCAAATACTTCGAAGCAATATAACTGCAAACTAAAGTGATCAGTGTGATTAACAATTAGTGTGTTTTGAGTCGTAATTGGTGTTTGGTAATAATTAAAGTGTCAATTTTGGTAATTTAATCGGTAGTTTTTATTGTCTTCGTGACAACCTCAAGCTGGAAACAATATTTATCTTTCCTTTGTCATTTATCGAATGGAGTGAAAGCAACTTTAAGCTATGTTAAATGAAGGCTAATAATTTTCCTCTCACCAGATGTCGCTATTTGGGACTGAGGTGATGTTTTTTGTTATGCAATATCATTTAATTGAGAACTTAGTTTTAAATAAAAGTTTATTAGTTTCTATAGTATTATGTACTCAAAACAATACCTCATTGATTGTTAGCATATTTTTAACTCTTTTTTAACTTTTCTACTTTTAGGAATATCCGTAATTTGGTTTATTTGTTTCTAATCTAATTACTTTACTCGTTAAATATAACAAATATGACAGAAAGAAATATTAACCCTTAAATTTTCCTAACATAATGAATTTCCCACTACGAAATCTGTCAAATATTTAACCTCACTCAAAAGTGGTGCTATCCTGGAGGCAGAAAAGGTTGTTGATCATTGACGTCGCTTTTTATGAGTAATGCTATTAACCACTGCGCTACTTAGTGGTCACATAACTTTAGACCTGGTAGAGCCATGCAGCAACTATATTAGTAGTGTAGTTCTAGCACGAATGGGTAGGCTCGACCGGGGAATGATCACGCTCTCACAGAATTTCTAGTGTAAAATAATAGCTGAACGCCGCTGTGTTTCATATGTATGGTTAGTGCAGAGAAACGGAGACTCTTTTTACTGGAAACGCGGTATTCCATCTTGGTCCTTACAGGTGACAACGCATCTGCATTTTGATTCGTAATCAAGGATAGATGTAGATGTCTACGGGCCGCAGCAACCACTTACCGTCAGGTGGACTGTGTGCTATTTTGTCACCCTTATACTATAAAAAATAAAATTACTTACCGTTTACGATCTTCAGACGGGCATAGGCCTTTTCCTAGAAGTGCTACTAAAATTAATATTATCTTTATAGCCTATCAAAGTCCCCTGCTAAACATAGGCCGCTCCTATAGATTGCCTCATAGGAAAGATATTTGCCATAGTTGCCACGCTCGACAAGCGGGTATATATATATATATATATATATATATATATATATATATATCGCATATAATATAATATATCGTACACCCATATCAAAACCGAGTCAACTCGAACAACGCGAATTTGGAGTTATCTTTATACTCGAATGCATGCTGGGTGAACCCATGCAACTATCCAACATAACAGGTACAAGAAAGCCTTGAAGGAAAAGTCGCTAGTTGCCGACAGCTTTCTTTTGTTGAATCGACACATGTTACCCCCTCCCACATAAACAAGTGTATTGTCAGTTGACCTTCGCTAGTCTTAGAGAGTACATGTATTAACCTGAACGAAAACACGGATATTTCGTTTTGTTACAGTTTTGATGAAAAGAGTACGTGAGTCAATTTAAGTTGTTACAGTTTTGGTGAATAGTTCTGCTACATTACTTAGACATATTTCGACTTGTTCCGGTTTTGTTTGACCAGGTACGTAATTATTTTGTAACTATTTTGACTTGACTTTGTTTAGATGTATCAACATGTTAATTTCTAATTAACCTACTATTGTTGAAACAAATTTATTTTCGTGTTTTTTTATACTAAACCTGTCATTTTACATGTTTTACTTGAAAAATCTTGTATGATTTTATACTGACCGTTTTAAAAGTATACTGTTTTCAATCAATCTATGTACCACATTGTTTTAAAAGGTTTTGTTTGAGTTAACTTACATTTTTGTGGCTATGTATAAAAGTAATACAATAAACTTTTTTGTTTCAGAAAAAAATGAAGCGAGGCCGTATTCTTGTTAATATTATAAAACAAAGATATCAAGAGAACCTATTAACAATGAATGAACAAGAGTCGGCAAAGTTTATAAATGAAGAAGCTCAAAATAATAAAGAAAATGGGTCAATTAACACTGCCTTGCTAACAAAACCATGTATTAACAAACAAAATGAAAAAAATCTTGACATACAAAGTGATAAGGGTCTAATAGATGACTCTAATACTGCAGATTGTGTTTGACAAAAAAGACAAAAAAACTGACGCCTAACGCAATTCCAAGTTTAAAAAGGTATGAAGAAAACTCACTAATACTCAATGAAGGAGCGACGGCCTTTAAACAACAGAAGAGCAGAGCACACGCCAATAGTACTGCACTATACAAACCACGCAAATATGCAGCAAATTGAAAATGATCTTTACATGTCGTCAAGTGATCAAAGTCTGATACTGATACTGATCCGAGCTATATCCGTCAAAAAAAGAAGAAACTGCCCCCGAAAGTAATTCTTAATTCATCTTTGTCTTCTTCAAGTGATACTAGCTCATCTAGCACATCAAATTCTAGTACTAGTTCTAACAGTAGTTCTGATTCTGAAACTGAAACCAGGGATATTATCGATGCTGTTACACAGACTCAAAATCAAGATATTGTTAATGAAGGTCGCAATGGTCATCCCAGTAAAAATAACAATGATCAGCCCGATGAAGATCGCAATGGACAGCCTAATGAAGATTGCAATGATCAGCCCAACGAAGATTGCAATAACCAGCCTAATGAAGAAGCAAAAAAGGAAAGAAGCGGCTAAGAAGAGAATCGACATGGAAAGTAAATATTTGTAAAGTTCTGAGCAATTCTGGTAAGGCCTATCAGTCTTTATCAAACACAAAGATACTTGTTCGTGAAAGGAAGGTTCGCACGACTTGCGGCGAAAAATGCAGATTACGTTGTAACTTGAAGAAAATCAGAATATGTAAGGCTTTTTTTAAGGGTACATTAGATTTAAGTTACACGGCTATTAATACTGCACTCACAAAAAAAATTCTTCCGGTATTGTTGCCAATGATTTTAGAGGAAAACACGGAAAGCAACCCAAACTTGATACCGAAATTAAAGTCAGTGTTACGGAGTTCATAAATAGTATCCCAAGGATTGAGTCTCATTACCTGAGAGCGCAGACAACACGGAAGTTTATTTGTAGTGACAAATCTCTTGCTGACTTATATCGTGATTATAAAGAAGCTCGTAAAAACAAACAGTTACCTTTCGCCACAAAGTCAACATTTAACAGGATATTTAATACAGAGTTTAATATTTCGTTTTTGTTTCGAAAAAAGATCTTTGCGACCTCTGTGAGAGCTTTAAAAACGCCAATGAAGAAGAGAGATTTGAAATACAAGAGAGTTATGAACAACACCTTTTAGAAAAAAAAAACTTGCAAGAGACCACAAAGAAAAAGACAAGAACAGAAATGACGAAGTAATTGTAGCAGTATATGATTTACAAGCTGTTATGCAGGTTCCAAAGGGTCAAGTTTCCTTGTTTTTATACAAATATAGAATTAATTGCTTAAATTTCACAATAAGTGATCTGTCGGCAAAAGATGTAATATGCTGCTTCTGGGATGAGACCGAAGGGAAAAGTGGCACTGTAGATATAGGCTCATGTGTTCTGAAGTATATTGACACTTTATTAGATAAAAATCCTGATAAAGACATCGATACTGTCTTCTATTCCGACAATTGCTGTGGGCAGCAAAAAAATAAATATTTACTTTTTGCTTATGCTTATTCTGTTGTCACTAAACGAGTTGCGTCAATAACGCACACATTTCTTATACGTGCTCATTCTCAAAATGAGGGTGACAATGTTCACAGCGTCATAGAAAGACAAATAAAAAGGCACATTAAATCTGGTCCGATATACACCCCACAACAATATTGCACTTTGATACGTACAGCTAAAAAAACGGGCAGTCCCTATCTAGTGAAAGAGGTGACGTTTGAACAGTTCTACGATACTAAAATCTTGCAAGAGGAGTGGGGTACAATTTTAATTTAGATGAAGACCGTAATCAAGTTAAATGGCACGACATTAAAATCTTAAGAGTGGAAAAGGAGAACCCGGGAGCATTCTTCTATAAAACGTCATTTGCAGATGAAAATTATAAAAAGGTGTTTGTGCGCAAACGCCGAAACAAAGATGATCAGATAGGATTTACAGGGCTTACACAAACCTACACTCGTAAAATACCACTCTCTGAGGCAAAGATGAAAGACATTAAGGATCTAATAAAAAAATACGCATTCCCACAGGTTTATGTAGATTCATATTTTAAAAATGTAGTTGGTAATAATAACTAATTGCTTTTGTTAATTGAGTGCTTAATTTTAAAACCTGGGTTTAGCTTTTAAGTTCATATCTATAAGAATTTAAAATTTTATTTTGATTTTATAAGACGTTTTATTATTTTGTTATTTAGGTTATCTAGTAATAAGAAACTGTTGTTTTTAAAGGTGGGCAAAGTGATATCCACGTAATTTTAATTGTTGATCTCAAAAATACCAAATTATAATTAGAAGTGTAAAAGTATTTTATGTAGTTTTATAAGAGTTTGATACTAATTAATAATTAAAATTTCTAAGATGATTCTATTCTTATTTTTTTATAAACAAGATTATAAATCTTATCATTTAAGTACATGAAAAAACCTATGTTATTTTGAAATGTTTAACTTCTTTATTACTTCCTGTAAATTTTAATATTTTGAGACATACTTTGTAATTTATTATTAGCTTCAAATAACATGAGAGCCTTGGTCCCAATTTAATTTTGAAGATATTTTTTTGGTTCTTAAAAACCATAGTGTAATATCAAAATCATTCCCTTAATTATACAATACATCGATGCATAATTTTTGTGCTTTAGTTTATGTTGTTTCATTTGTAATGTACATTTTTAATTTTATTACTCTTTTAAATTAGTTTTATTTGAAGAATCGTTACCTTAATTTTTGTTCTAATATAAGTTCAACTCAAAATGATTCAATAAAACTGCTTCAAGTGTAAATGTAATAAACAAAGTCACCACCCTAAAGTGTAACAACTCAAAAAATACTGATTATCGGTAAAAAGGCTCGATTTTTAGTTTCAGTTTATATACGGTGATATTTTCCTACTTATTTATAATGTAAAACAATATTAAGTTTTCTAACTTCCCTAACAAAAAATGCAGTAACACGTTTTCTTCATCTCCTGAAAAATTACCTTTTTTGAGTTGTCTCAGTTTTCATCTAGATGTGCGATATAATACCTATTTTTATGCTCGATTTGACGGCCCTATCGCGCAGTAAACTTAGCATTGCCCGCGTCTGTAAATAATTTTTCCGGATCTTGATGTTTGTCCTTGTGAAACTTTTATATGTAAACTGCCTCCACCATACTGGAGAAAATCCTAGTATTCTAACGTGTTTTTTATATTTAAAGAATTCCCTCTCACACCTTTTACAACACCCACGGGATGTTGATGGATAGTGGATATTCTGACACTGCAACCACACGGCTAATACGAGTACAACTATATTCCGCTAACAGCTTCCGTTGTTTCGCCAGGTGTAAATCACAGAGTACCTTTATATATATTGAAAGCGTAAATTAAAGTATGTTCTTATAAATAGTACCGTATGTTCTATGTCATAATCGTCTCCAGACTCAAATGACAAATTTCATTATTAACACACATAAAATCCGACCGGCCGTTTAAGCGATATTGAAAGACAAACATCAAATTTCACTATAAGTCACCACTATTAAGTAAGATTAGAGAGAAGTGAGACAAACACCCAAACAATACAAGTATGTTTGTATGGGTTGTTCTGAGGTGTCCTGACCACTCACTACCAACTTCACATTTCAATATTAAGTAAGATTAGGCAATATTATTTCCGCAATGCTATATGGCGCTGTCATTTATTACCTGAACGCCACAATTTATTGTTTATAAAGTTAATATGATTAGAAAATTATCACATGAAATAAACCATTTGCCGTAAAGTTTCATTATTTTATATTTTATTTCATTTGAAGATTTCATTCGAATCTGCTTCGTGTGAACGGTACACATGTTTTTTATTAATTAATAATTGATTGTTATTTTTATAATAATTTACTAGCAATTCCACAGATGAATAGAATATTCACAAATGCGCAAGCCAATTCATTACATAAAATTGTAATGTAATAAATAATATTTTTTGACACGCCACGGTTTATTATTTTACATTGGAAACATCCAATTATTCCACGTAAATGTGTAATACAACACGCGATACCACAGACAATGTATTGATTCAATTTTCGATAACCGTATACCTACTATGTAACATCAAGCATGTATATACTTCGATACGCAGTGAACTAATCGACTATGAAATTAGTTCTGTGAACTGAACCGATAGGTTTAACAACTTAGAATAGAATTATTATTTTCGTAATCACATCGCTTCTCACTAATCATTATAACTACGTGGTAGGCCCACGCTGCAACTATATTAGTTGTAGCACGAATGGGTCGACTCGATCGGGTAGGACCACGCTCTCACAGAATACCAGCGTAAAGTAGCAGCTTAAGGCTGCTGTTTCATATAGTGAGTATAGGGAACCGGAGACCTTATTTACTGGAAACGAGGCACTCCATCTTAGTCCTCACGGGTGGCGACAGATCTGCATTTTGATTCGTAATCGAGGATAGATGTAGATGTCTCTGGGCAACAGCAACTTCTTACCATCAGGTGGACTGTGTGCTAGTTTCTCATATTTACCCTATAAAAAAATCAACACTCCTCATTTTATATGACTGTGTAGTCGGGTTCTTTGTTATATGTTCAGAAATGGTAGGAATAATGAATAAAACTTTACATGCACCAACTTTATTCCTGCTGCCTTGAGCGATAAAAGAGGTGCAGTTGGAGTATTAAAGTTCGAAGTTTAATAAATAAAACGTGAGAAATGTATGAATGATTCATACTTAATATTAGTTCAGATGATTTAAGAACGATGCTTTAACTTTAAAATATTATTAAAAAAATAAGAACGTAAAAAAATCATATTTTAAAAATGTGTCGAACGGTCGTTTGGGTTTGGATACCAGTAGTCAGCATAGCCGATCTATGCCTAATAAACCCTGTGCTCACTATTAAAAAAGTGTATTTTTTATGGAGTATCTTTAGTCGCTCCACCAGCATTACCGTATACGCACATTTCACGCATGGTCTATTTACTCCCTTATCTTCGCGATGGCGCGTTCTTGGTTACGTTGAGTATGCGTATACTATACTACGTGCATAACGTGTTTGTGCACTCAGCGTACGTTATCTCATGCTCGTGTAATGAAGCTTTTTTGATAGAAGTACGGTGGCAAACAATCACACAGTCCAGTCCCATCTGATGATAAGTGGATGCTGTGGCCCATAGATGTAGGTGACATCCATTATCGATTAAGAAACAAGTTGGCACCTCTGAGAAATGAGAAGGTTGTTTCCATTAAAAGGGCCTTCAATCTCTACTCTCGCCATACGACATAAATAGCGGCATTAAGCTGCTATGTTATGCTAATATTCTGTGAGAGCATGATGGATCATGCTGGTTGAGCAGACCATAATATAACTCTACCACGAAAAATAAAAAATAAAAAATATAGTTGGAGAATTAAAATTTACTCTATTGTGCCAGCAGAGGACTACTGCATTAAGAATTTTTTTCAGTTAACGGTTTTAATAATACCTAAATATATAATTGAATAAAACTATAT